TGCTCTTGCTTCAGTGGGGCTGTTGCACGGCTCACGAGTCAGTTATGAAACCCTGATGTCTCACCAGATACCAGAAAGAGAAACAGAAGTTCCATAAAACCTGGCTCATGGAAGATGTTTCCTGGCATCAAAACGCACCCTGCCCAACGGGATTATCTTTCTGCCAACAGGCATCTGCAATAAACAAATTCGTTCTTGGCCTGAAGGGAGCTAAAAAGCCATTGAGGTTTTTTGTTCTCAGTCCTGCTCTTTCTTCTCTAAGTTTTGACTTGGCCCAGCAAAGTAGGATGGGATGGAAGTCTACAGGAAACTGGTGGGTGATCCCCTGATCAGGTCTGAGACCTGCTGACCTTGAAGGGACCCTTGCAGGCAGAGGCTGCACAAGCAAAGCAGGATGCACGCCTCTACACTGCTGGGAAAAACCCTGTGCCATCCAACACCCACTCCAAGGATAGGAAACATCCTCCTCTGGCTTCTCCCACCTGCAAAGCTCTTCCATCAAAGCCTTCTTCCCCTCCTGCCTCTCCCTCGGACCTGGGAGCCACCATGGAAACAGTGAGGGTGAGATCTGCAGCTGCAACCAGCTGAGGCCATCTCTTGTGCTCACACTGTAAGTGGCAATCAGGGGTTTCCTCACGTGATGCTCCTTGTGCTGCTGCGTACTCTGGAAACTGCTAAGGAGAACTAAAATAAAGTTGAAAGACAAATTAAATATACATATATATAATTATTATGATTTTGTAACAAAGGGCAAAAAGGAGTTTTCCCAGGCAATTTTTTATGTCTCATAATTGGCAACACTGCTAAATACAACCTCTGCATCTCACAGCTTCACAAAACTGCAGCCCTGCAAAAGACAATTTTGGAACTGAGCAGGCAGCCATTTTTGCATCCCCTGAGAGAAAGCACATCTACCATGTTGCCATGAACAGAATGGATTTTTTTTGCCCTAAACTGTTAATTTTGTTTATTGCAATAGTGGCCAGAATCCAACACAGATCAGAAGATTCTCTGGAGCGGATGTGACAGCTGCTGCTCCAAAGGGGAAGGAGATAAAAGCCAAGTGGGAGGGTGGACAGGATCAGGATCCACCTACCATCAGGGAAACACCCACCTAAGGACTGCCACACCAGGGCACCTCACAACCTTCGTCCTGTCAGAGCAGAGCCAGCAGCAGATGCCTGTGGAAAGAAATACAGTGTGTCCCTACCCCATACGTGCATCCCTTCACATGCTCCGCTGGGCTGGCCACATTTTGCACACAGACTGATATTTGCAAACTACAGCCCAAGGACTTCTGGTCCTTGTGCTCCTCCAAGCCTTGTTCACGTCTCCAGAGCTCCCTGTACACATATTCAAGCAGAACTGGCCCTGGTGCTTCCCTCCCAGGTTTTCAATTTTACAAAATTTTCCTGGAAGGAGGCACTTTGCTAGTTCACCTGTATTTCACAGAGGAAAATCAACATGGTTAATGCTGACTTTCAACCAAGACAGCTTGATGAGTAGAACACTAGAAGAGCATTTCAGTACACCTTACATAGTTATAAAGTGAGATATGAAAATACTGGTGTGGGGAAAGCAGAAAGTTCTAAGTAACCAAGACTTGTAGCCTTAGACTGATGCTTCAATAAACCTCTAGGGAATATCTTTTGTTAACGGGGCCCATTGCTCCAGCCTTAGGCTTTTTCATTCCACAGGAGGAGCTCTGTGGATGCACAAAGCCCATGTGCAGGAATTTTGAGCTTGAAGGATTCTATTCACTCTTCATTTTATTACAAACGTATTTCTATCAGCCGAGGTGGCTGCAAAATTTAGTTTATTGAAAAACTGAGAGTTGTAGCTGGAAGTAGTTACAAAAAAGTAAAAAAAAACCCTCTTTGAATTTCAACTATGGTTGGTCACCTGGATAAGCCAAAAGTAGAAGCCAGTAACAAATGCTGTCAATCTTCTTGCAGTATTAACATGCCCAGCACACTCTGCCAGACCTCCAGCTATGGTTTACAGTAAAGATGCCTTTTCCATGACTCAAAAAACTGCTGTAGAATTTATTGGTTGGGATTTTTGGGGGGGGTTGGTGCATTTTGTTTGTTTTTAAACCAGTGGGGCACACTGGGCTTTTTCACTAATCTCTGCACTTCAAATTGTGACTTTATCCCACAGCCACTGAAAGCTTTTTCCTTTACCCTTCCTCATCCCACTTATCACTAAGCTAATTCAATGCTAAAACTGAAGAATAAGAAAAACTCTTAAGAATTGGCCAGTTATTTTTTCCCAAGATACTGCTGCTTCTAATTGATGCCTGCCATCTACTGGCATCTTTCTCAAAATGCAGTCAGTTTTAAGCCAAAAATGCACATCTCTGAGAAAGCTGACAGAGAAAGATACAGTTATTCATTGACAGAAGAAAAAAACCCATACAAGCTCTCAAGGACAAAAGTTGTGCAAGTCTGAGAACAGACCAGAAACTGGATATACAGACAGTTTTTTCCATACACCACTTAAGTTCATCTTGCAACTTGTTTGTTCTGGGTCCCAGTAGAGGAACTTACTCTGAATACAGAGTTGTGTTGTTGACTTCCTTTGCCAACTGTTGGTAGTATGGCCACTCGATAGAGAATAATATGAAGTTGTGAAATTAAATTAATAAACATTGGTTCCAAGTTGCCTTCAACAGAATTGCTCAACAGTGATGAACTAGTCCAGTAAGTGACACTTCCCAGAATGATGGGATGACAAGAGGTACCAATGCACATTGATGCTCCCAAATGACAGGGGAAAAACCAAACTAGTTACAGCTAATTTTCCTTGGTAAAGAAAGCAGATGAAACATAAGGAATTATTTTGACAACTACATTTCCAAATAGAACCACCATTCAAATCCAAAGCTGCTGTATTGTCCAGGCAGTTTCACCTCTAGCCTGGCAAGGCGAATGGCTGAGCCCAGCCACGTGTCGGCCTCCGTAGGGCTGAAGGCATCGTGCCTGTGCTCCTGCATCAGCAGCTGACTGCCCCACGAACAAGCAGTCCAGTCCTCGACTCCAGGACTACTGGTCAGGTGTTTTATCGCAAAAGTCACACAAAGAGGACAAGCACAGCAATATTGGCCCAGCTCATTAATTCCCAGTCAGCCTCTAGAAGTTCAGTTTCCCACCAAGCAAGCCAGCAGCTCAGTAACCACCATGAGTCACCATGCAAACTGACGATGAAGAAGCCCTGCACCTATTTGCACCTTCCCTTCTCTGCTTCTCTGCTCTTTTCTCTCCTTCCTTCCCTACAGCCAAGGCTCCCAACAGAATCAGAGAAGCCCATCCCACCCTCATAATTAGACGTGTCTTTGCAGAATATGGCTGGGATTAATGAAAAAATTTCAATGCTCTGTTGTTCCATTTGCTGGAACAGGAGATTATTCCCTGCTTGCACTTGCCCACCAGCCAGAAAAGACCTGAGCCACCAGATCCAGGAGGAGTCACACAGATACCCAATTCTGGTAAACTACTTTTTTTGGTTTAAAGACGCATTTGACCTGACTTACCACTTTTTTTCCGCTGCCTGTCTGTAATGTGCTTATCATAACATATATAAAAGCAACTCAGCTTAAAAATCAGTTACATCACATTACCTTGGAATCTAGAGACTATTGCTGTGCGCATGGCTCAATTATATATCCCACTACATCAGAATTTTATCATAAAGCACTGAAGAAAAGGCAGTAACATCTCCCTTATTTATTTCCCTTTTTTCATTTTAGTATTTTAATTACTGGTCTCTTTCTTCAGATTAACCAGGGCTGTTTTCACATCAGTTTATCAGAATTATTTTTAATCTACAAGATGAGAAATATATTTCAATTAATATTGCCTTGGCTGAATTTTTGTTCTAATTCAGCTTCATCTTATTCTGTAACTGACAATACTAAAGTCATGAGTAGAAACACTGAGAGTGCTTTCTGATGGACATCAGGAGTATAGCTTCTTTATTCTTCCCCCCAGTAATTTGACATTAATGGATTGTAAATTTACTTAAAAAAAAAAAAAAAAAAAACAACAAAAAAACCCCAAAATATCTCCTTGCCAGTGGTGGCATGACTTCTATTTCAAGCAACATTTTAATTCAAGAGCCTAATATTTTAACCTCATTCTCTAAAAGCCAGGTTTAAAATCCTCAAACTGTTTCATAAACTCCCTTACAAACATCTTCAAATTACTCCAACCTCCCCAAAATAGCACACAGACTGTTTATGCAGCAAAGAGTGGATACAAGGCACAGTCGCCCATCTCCTTAATCAAAGTTATTTAAAGCATAATGCTATGTACAAATCTAGCAGAGCGCTGTAGGCCAAAATTTTACAAAGTAAAGACATTTTCAGGTCTTTCAAGTTTTGAATCTCTGTCTTCAAACACCTTCAAAGGGTCTGCATTTCCAATGAAAGCAGTGCTTTCTCTCTAAAGGTAACCTTAATCTGGATACTAAACCCACTTACCCTTAGCCTGCATCTCTAGTATAAAGTCTGCCTGTTCTGCACCTCTGGCAACACCTCTATAGTTCATAACACTACTGAAAAAACAAGTCTCAATTTCTGGTTTTGTTTACAAAGACAGATTGCACTCATTCTTAGAAAAGTAGCATTGCTTGCAGCACGTTACAAAGCTTTCACATCGCTGGATTCTTAACTTAGCAGAAGTCACAATCATTCCAAGACAAAATTTTGCAGATGGATAGCCAAGTACATCTGGAGGAGAGTGCTCTGCAGAACCGCCCGATAAATGAAGTGGTCAACCACTGGTAGCCCATGACAAGTCAGACCGGCACAGTACAACCACCCTGTATGCTGGGAAATCACTCACTACTCAGGCCTCTCAAGCTTCCTTGATTCAATGGTTTTATTTTTCTTAAGAATATTTCCAGAGGACAGAGTGCCAAGGATATTTTACAAGTCTTCATACTCAGCTCTTTCTCCCACCCTTTAAGAGAAAAAAAAAAAAAAAAAACAAAACCCACAAATTGAACCTTCTTAGTAAGCGCCAACACTGCTCTCAGTTCTGGCTAGGAGACAGCCCCTGCCCCAAAGAGCTTCCATTCTAGGAGAGAGAGAGTAATACAAAGGTGAGGTTCACAGGGAAAACAACAAGGAAGGTGACACCGTTTGTCATGCTGCTGGTGCCATACATGGAGATTGGGACATTGGTTTGTGCTGGCAGTCAGTACACAGATACTGAATAGACCACACACTGCACGTGACAGAACATGTTCTCTCTGCAGGTGTTTGGAAGGGAGAAGGTAAAGAAGCTCTCAAGAAAGTTCTCAAGGCAGTCCTGTGACAAGGAAGGCATTTTTTCTATGTAGAAATTTTTGCCTATTTACATACTTTTTTTTTTTTTTGAAGAAAATAAAATTATAGTTAACATGCCAAAAACACATTCATCAAATCAGTTGTCTTACAAAAATAAAATCTTCAAACAATGTGTTTCTAAAATAAATATCAATAGGGCTGGAAAAAATAAATACATGTATCCAAGCTATTTTATTAAAACACAAAAAGGTGTGTTTAGTTCCTTACTAAAAAGTAGCCATGGAGTCCTGATTAAAGCAGCAACTCTTTGGAGCATCCTTCTTTTACAGTAACACATGAAGAACTGTTCCAAGCAGAAAAGAACAGATTCTTAATGAAAGAAATATATACGACTGTGTTCCTGATCGGTAAGTACAGAACTTTTTAATCTTTGCTGAATGATAGAGGCTAAAAACCAGTGTTTCATGATATACCCCTGCTGAAATTTTCTGGTATTTCCAAGCAGTGAGAGGCTAACACTTTTTCTCTTCAGGAAAGAAAAAAAAAAAAAAAAAAAAAAAAAAAGTCCCACCTGTGTATTTGGTTGTTTGTGAATATATGTGTATAGTCCCCTGATTGAGAATAAAATTAATCCTTCTTAAAAATACTGAGCTACTCTTCCCCCCCCAAACAGCAGCTCTCATGTACGGAAACAAGACATTTTAATACAATGCTGCCTACAGAAGGACTGTAACAGCACAGGGAGCCAGGGGCAGCTCAGCCTCAGGCAGGAGACTTTTATTGCTTGGAAGCACAAGCTGCACCAATTCAGGATGGTCCAACATGAAATCAATGTTTCCATGGCAGCCCCTTGCATTTCAAGGGCTAGTTCATTGCCCTGAGCTCCTGCTGCCAGGAGTCAGTCTCAGTTTGGCCGGTAGTAGTCACAGTGCTCTAGGTAATAGGAGGCAGGGTACCCTATTCCCCACTCTCGTAAGGCAGCTGTACCACACCAGGAAATCAGTTTCCTTCTTGAAGTATTCCTTTTTTTGTGGTCCTGTATGTCCTCTTACTTTTTAAATTGTTTTTCTACCTATTTAAAAGGAGCAACATGCCCAGATTAACAACAGTGGTCAAGTAGGCAAAGAATAAAATGTCCACAATGCAAGCTCTACATAGGTTCACAATGTACTGGTCATGCATAAAACCCTACAGATCCTGGCAGGCATTTAAATGTTTAAGTTGATGTAAGATCAAATTGCTAATGAACTGACTGCTGGATGGACTGTAGCCAGCTTGAAATCACTGGTAGGTTCTGCATCTGATGTCACACGACTTAAGATGTGTCAGATCACTGGTCATCTACTTTAGCCCTTTTTGCTTTTAAGGAAAGATGCTGCAAGAGAAGAAAAGAAGAGAAAAATTACTTAGCATATACACAATTAGAAAAATGTTCAACTAGAATGCTTTCAGTCTCTAATCTGAAATTAAATAAATTTTCTTACACAAATACCAAAGACCACCCTTCCCAAGCTCTGCTTGTTACTGATATAGCTAAAATAAACCTATGAAATAAAAACCCCACATGTATCCGAAAGTGATATTCTGGCTTGCTGTAAAATGTCATCTTCCTAGTACCTCTGCAGTAACTGCAAGCACAATTTCCCACTGGAAGCAAGCTGCCAGCATGTAAAAACACACGGAAAGGGACGTGCTCCCAACAACACGTGTGCCTAAGCACTCGGGGTACATATATGAACTACAAGATTTTAACAAGTGTATTAACACTGCAGCTGTAGTTGCTTTGGAGTCTTGAACCTCTATAGTCTTAAAGAAAAAGGCCTACAAAAATGTGGAATGAAAACATGAAGAAAGTCCTACAAAATTTGGAAAGAGACATCATTGACCGAGACCATGATCAAGCTGTAGAAGAAAAATCTTTTCATACAGAATCCTATTCAGTTATAATTTGTTTTTAACTTGATACAGGAATAAAAATTCTCATATTTCAGGAATCACTTATTAGCACAAAGATGTATCCTTCAGTAGAAAAAGGGTCTGAATGTCTATAAATCGCCATAAATTTGTATCTTGCAATGGCTTGGTTATTCAAAATTTACATGTATAATTCAAAGCTTTACACAACAGGAATATTTATATTTTTTAAACAGTTTATAAAGGCACACAAGCCTTTTGGCTTATAAGGATGCCTGACCAAACTGGAAAAGATCATTTTCCTCAAAACCAGCACTATCCTCCAGAGCTTCCATTTATTTTAGGATGAAAACAATGCTTAGGTCATGCTGCAAACTGAGTTCATCTCTATCAAATCAAAAGGATGGCAATGGTAAAAATTAGGTTCTGATGTAATTTCGTAGAATATCTACAACAGTAGTAGTACTACCTGGAAAAACACATTGTCTCAGTCAGGTAGGTAGTACTACTCAAGACAAGCCTTCTTCACTTATAAAAAGCAACTCAAGCTTTGCCTGAGCAAGACACTGGGTCACATTCCCCAACACTACCTACCTAAAGGAAAACCTCACATAGAATAGAATCATAGAAGAATCATAGAATCATAGAATCGCTTTGGTTGGAAAAGACCTTTAAGTTCATCGAGTCCAACCTTTAACCTAACCCTGCCATCCCACCACTAAACCATGTCCCTAAGCACCTCATCTATCCTTCTTTTAAATACCTCCAAAGATGGGGACTCTACCACCTCCCTGGACAGCCCATTCCAGAGCCTGACAACCCTTTCAGTGAAGAAGTTTTTCCTAATATCTAACCTAAACCTCCCCTGAGCTCATGGAGAGGTCATATCACAATGGGATGTTGTGGTGTGTATTGGATGCTACAACGTGTAAATACTCCAGTCAAAAGGACTAGTTATTTCAGGAGCAGGTTTGATACAACTGGAACATTGGCTTCTCTCCTTTTTACACCATGCTTGCAGAATGTCTAACAGCAGCTGAATACTCAGGGGCCTACCCTGCAGGGGTCATTACTGCCTTCGTCAAATGCGTTATAGAAAAAAAAAAAAAGGCAGAAAATATTCAGCTACTTAGAGTAAGTACATTTATAGATGGTAAGTGTCTGGATAACTGAGATGAATTATCCAAGCTCAACATTAAAAAAAACCTAACCCTCTCAAGTCAATTACATGGACAGAGGCCAATGCTGCTGTACACTGTAACCACAGAGGTATGTCCTAAGGTGCCCCATGCACCACAGTGTTTTTCTTTTTTCCAAAAACCCCAGGAAGTGAAAGAAAAAAAAACATCATCAGATTCTCAGAAAAGTCAAATAGCATAGCAGATGTACAAATCAGAAACAGCCATTTTTGCAACATGGCTGCTTACGTGCACAAACAGATCTCTTGTTTTGCATAGGTCTGATATGCAAGTGCATTTTTTCACTCAGCATTTTGGAAATACTTCACCAATTTAGACTACAAAGCTCAGTAGTTATTAATCTCCCATGGGAAATTCACATGCAAGAACAATTTGGCAATCTTGCCAGTAGAGTATTGACATGCAATGGGGTATCAACAGCTCCAGCATAACTAACAGTTAGGTAACATTCAGTACCAATCCAGTTCTCAGAATGACCAGGGAATAAGTCCAGATTGACAAATTCACGTGAGACAGAGTTGATAAAGGATGGTGACAACTATTAAAAGATACTTGTAAAGAAAAGGTATGTGTATCACACACAACGGAGTTTGCAATAAAAGTTTGCACAAATAGCAGCTGTTTTTTGCCATTCCAAGTTTGAACAGATCAGAGATGATTTTTTTTTTTTCAGTAAACATAACTAACGCTCAAAAAAAAGTCTCAGGATTTGCACAAACATTTGCAAAGCATGCAAAGACTCCTCTAAAATTATTGTGCAAAGTATGACCACTGCCTAGCTATAGTGCTGCTCCAAGAAGTGCTACCAACTGTCTATATTCAGGTGTAAAATGGCTGAAGGCTTCATTTACCAGAATGACACACTACTTTGTAACTTTGAGATCATGTCTGTTGGCTGGATAATAGGGAAAAAGCTTTCATGCATTAATTAATTATCCTCTTTCTTTATATTAAAACCACTACAATGAACAAAACCAAATTCACTTTTGTACCATTAAATAGACAACAACAACAAAACATAAACACTTTAAAAGTTCAGATACAAGAGCTGCTAATACAGCAATGGTACCGTTTGGGCTTTATGCTGATTCCGTACCGTTCCTTGCTGGTAAAAATGAGGTGCCAGTTCCAAGAGCCATGCAGATTCAACAGCAGTCACATCTCTCATGTAATATTTAGCAGTCTGTATAACTTCATTGTAGACTACCCTAGAAGAAAGGGGGAAAAAAAAAAAAAAAAAAAAAAAAAAGTGTTTGCTTTAACTATAATATAAAGCAATCAGGGAGAGAGATGATTAACAGCATATTTAGGCAGTTTCACATACATGCTGCCAGAGGTAGTATTTACAGAATGACAAGAGCATCTTTAAATTATAATACAGCCTCTTACCTCTTTCC